TTTGTTTTTGTTGTTGTTAATGTTTGTTATTTTTTTGATAGGGTTTCCCTGTGTAGTCCTAGTTGTCCTAGAACTTGCTCTGTAGCCCAGGCTGGTCTTGAACTCAGAGATCCATGTTACTCTACCTCCTGAGTGCTGGGAGTAAAGGTGTGTGCCACAATGTCTGACTTGCATTTTTTTAATCTGTGTTTTATCTATTGCACTCTATCTTTCCCAACCATAGTTATTCTATATTTTAAAATATATATAAAACATCTGACTTCCTTAAAGTGGTCTGTCTCACTAATAGCCTCCTTAAGCATTCCACCTCACCCAGTAACACTAGACTTATTTTTTAAGACTTCACAGAGCCATTACCTCTACCCTTCCTCTTCCTTTCCAAAGATGTTATCCTGTGCTGTACTCCCAGGATATATCATAAACAGTTGTGTTGTTATAGTTGCATTGCTCAGTTAATATTATCCGCTTTCAGATAATATTCCTGTATTCAACTTTTTTTTCCCTTTTACTCATTGGTATGGTCAGGTACCTTAGAAGAAGCAACTTAAGGGAAGAGAGGTTTATTTTGACCCAGTTTGAGAGTAGACTGCATCATGGTAGGGAAGGGATGATGACAGGCAGGGGATCCCTTGGTGGTGGGTTCAAGCAACAGTGAGTGAGGTACTAGAGCTGAGTTCCTAAACGGTAATGTCTGCCTCAATAACCAAGTTTCTTCATCAAGGAACACTAGCTAAAGGAATTACAGTATCCCAAGACAGAACCAACAGAAGATCAAATGCTGAAGGATATTTCACATTCAAACCATAACATAAAGATCCCAAGTAGTAGAATGTAAGCTGCTTGAGGGCAAAAGAGCCATCTTTTATTTTTCCGGAATATTTTTTTGTGATTTATTCCATTTTAATGTTCAGAGAGAAACAGTGGTTATAGGAATTTTAGTTTACTTAAGAAATTACTTCAAGAAAGTTTTCTCTTATACTTTTTTTTCTCACAACTTTTATAGTGCTTAGTTTCAGTGTTCTTATGGGTAGTGGGATGTTTTGTCTTCGTAAATAAAGACTTCTAGGTATACTTTTTTTGATTGTTTATATTGAATTGGATTTCTCTGTGTAGCCCTGGGTGTCCTGGAACTTGCAGTGGTTGCCTGGACTCTGCCTCCTAGAGCTAGGAATACAGGTGTATACTGTCTCACCCAGTTTAAGCAAATACCTCTTGAAAGTTAAATATGGTTACTGTTTTGAAGAGAGCCCATTAATGGTTGAGTGTATCCCACAGCTGCATCATTTTATCATCAACAGATGTACAAACAGGATTATTCATTATTAACCTTTTGTGCTGGGAATAATTGTATTTTGACTTAATAATTATTTGTTTTCAATGTTTTACAACTATATATGAAAAAATTAAAATTTTTATATAACAGAACGATAACTCTCCTTTGCATCTCATTGTCAAACCCAGTGATATAAAAGACTGTGCTTATACACTCCAACAAAAAATAATACATGGAATTGCAATATGAAAGTATCAATGCTGCTGTTTGTTTCTCAGTTTAATATTTTTTGTTCTTTATATTAGCCACTGATAGATATTATGCAAATTAATTATCATATATGTAGTTTTAAAAATACTGTGTTGTTGAAAAATATATTTGGCCTGATTTGGAATCCCATCCTTTTTTCAACATGCTACACAGTCAAATCAAATATCTCCTGAAGTACATCTGCCAGATCTTTTCATAGACAAAAATAGTACAGTAACATTAACAAAATGCAGCCCAATAACTTGCAAAATAAAACACTAATAATTCTAACACCATGCTTATTATTAAAAGAATAGAAAAAATAGAGAAGTGTAAGGCATGATCTGTCAATGACACACGGGTTAAAAGAATGAGCTTTGGAAAGTTATAGGAACCACAGTTCTCATATATTCATGAACACAGGAAGAGTTTTGCAAACTTTTCAGCAAGTTTACCTGGATCTACTTTCACCAATGGAATTCTGGATTCAAATAGTTAATGGGCTGCTGGTGAGAACAGGAGATAGAAAGTGGTCAGCTGCTTTGGAGATGGTGACATTGATTCTTGTCCTGAAATGTCCTTGGTTCTACCCTGGCCAGAGGACAGGAATAAAAGAAAGGGGCGCTGGTTCGGGTTTTTGTTCTCTTTCTTTTACATCTTCTGATTGAGCTCCCATGCCTATAGAATGTCCCTCATATCTTAAGGGAACTCATGTTCTAGGATCTGATCCTGCTGCACAGGACTCGGCAGGACTGCACAGGACTTCCTTCCTTCCTTCCTTCCTTCCTTCCTTCCTTCCTCCCTCCCTCCCTCTTCCCTCCCTCCCTCCCTCCCTCTCTCCCTCTCCCTCTCCCTCTCCCTCTCTCTCCCTCCCTTCCTTCCTTCCTTCCTACCTTTCTTTCTTAACTCCCACTTTAAGTCCTATACTAAAACTCCTTTCTATACTGACCCATTGTCCATCATACGCATTCTCTAAGCTCACCAGACAAAGTTCTCCACAGCCACTGGTTTGGAGTGGTGAGGCTGGCTGTTAATTTGCACAGGACCGTAGAACTCAAGGCTACCTACAAGACACGACAAGACAGCCTCTGCCACTTTGAAGGACCTATTGCTTTCTTCAGGGTCGCTAGCCTCTCACAGTTAATAACTGATTACTAATCAATGAATACTGAAATTCCCTTCTTCCTCCTTTCCTGTCTTCTATTCTCATTTTCTGTGCCCCTCCATCTCTTCCTTCCCCTTCCCCCCATCTTTTTATTTCTTTCTGTACTGGCATTAAATCCAGGTCTCACACACGCTAAACTGAGCTATTTACCCAGATCACTGAACTTTAGAATTTGTTGATTCATTAGATTCCAGCATTGAGTCTTTAATCATTAGTTAAAAAAATCTCGGTTGGGTCACGTTGTTGCCATTTAAATGTAATTTTTGATCTACTAGTAAGCCATTAATGGTATTTTGGTATATAATAAATTTTTTACATAGTTATCCTTGAATTCTGTAATGTAGTTCATTATATTTTACACATATTTTAAATATAAAGATCCTATAGAAATTTATGAACCCACTACATTATAATTGATATACTCTGTTTTTGTTTGCTTAATTTTACTGTAATAATTTCTTCAAAATAATGATTAACTATATTTTAACAACTTTACTAACAATACTTTAATGCCTTTTTACATAATATGAATATATTTTTGTGAAATTTAAACATTACCAATAAGGATTTTTCTTTTATTTATGAATTTTCAAGCTTTCGTTCACACATTTAAGTATATCAATAGACATAAATATATAGACACAAGTATATGTATATATTTGAAACATTTTGTAAGTAGTATGTATCTAGCAGTGTATCTTAAAGATTGATGTCAATGGTCTTAATCTCCTTCATACCTTTAAACTGTTGGCATTTTATATTTATAATTGAGTGGTGCTATATAGTCATAACCTCTTTTGTTTCAGTCACAAGCTTGATGGGTTGCCTTTGAATGTTTAGTTTTTGATGTTAGATTATTTCTTATATCTAACAGCAATAAGACTTAGTATCAATAGTTGGCTGTATACAAGAACTATACAATTATACACTCTTGACAGTAGTTCATGGGAATGACATTCACTTCCAAAACATTGCCAGTGCTTGCTATTATTATATTTTACTTTTGAATTTTTTACACTTGATCTTAGCCAAAAGGCCGAGAAGCGATAGTTTTGAATTTTTTGTCCATATATGTGTGTGTGTGAATGTGATTGCAAATTATGTAGATGTTCTTCTGATCACTCCAATTTATTTATTTAGGGTTTTTTTTTTAAATCATTTTGTTTTTAAGTGTTTGGTCCTGCTGTGAACATGAAGCATCCCCTAGTGAACCTTACTTAGTGCTCTAATCAGTTTGTGTCTTTCTGAATAATCATTGGGAAATTGTTTACAAAGAGAATATTTTTGTTTTTGTTTTTTTGTTGTTGTTATTGTTGTTTGTAATTTACACTGGTAGTCTTACAAGAACTTGAGAGAATAAGAAAACCAATCCGTACATATGATACTCATACATTTATAAAGCAATGGAGTATGTTATAGTTTAGAAAGATTCACATATGACACTCTCTGGTTTTTCATTACATTCTTCATTATGAAAATGTGCTTTATTATTGTTTTAGATACTGAAATTATTATTTAAATTTAATTCTAAGAATTTTAAAAATGACAGTGAACACTAAACTGGGAAGCGGTACTTATCTCTTAAAATTTTTTTTCACATTATTCTTATGAGTGAACTTATTTTTGTGTTTTCTCAAGGCAACCAAGTATATTCAGGAAGTCATGGAATATTGTCTTTTGTTCCTTTAACATCTTTACAGTATTGACAATTTCATATGTTTTTAAGCATATATTTGAAAAACCAACATGTTTCAGGAAGGGAAAATACAAGAAACTCGGGGAGTAATTTGCTACACGATGTTTTGGGAGAAAAACTTCTTCAGAGTTTTGTAAGAACATCAAGATCATATTGAAAGCAGGGATTTTACTGAGAGTAAATTTCACAGATCTTAGAAAGCCGTGAGTTCACTTAGTCCACCTTAAGTGCTCATCTCGGCGTGAAGGAAAGCATGGACACCCTCTTGAGAATATAGACTAGGGACCCACAAGAAGCTCTTGCTGAAGTCCAATTTCGAGACTGACAGAGAAAATTGTGGGGCACACCTCAGACTTAACCAGCCAAATGACTAACTCTGGTGAGAAATAATCTTTAGAAGGAATTTTCCTCAAAAAGCCTCTTAAAGACATGACTTAAAAGTCACACTTCAAAGAAAAGAATGAGTTTTCAGGAAACACTGTGGAGTGCTGTGAGGTGAGGATGGGATTTAAAATCTGGTTCTTGCCTCAAAAATTCTAACTTAACAAGAACAATTGCTAAGGGGGACCAATGAAAGAATTTATGGCAAACATTTTTTCTTTCCATTAACATTATAGCTCAAGTCTGGAGAAACAGCTGCCAATATTGCTAGAGAGCTGGCGGAACAGACCAGAAATCACTTGAATGCTGGGGATATCACCTACTCAGTCCGTGCCATGGACCAGCTGGTTGGTCTCCTGGATGTCCAGCTCAGGAATTTGACACCAGGTGGGAAAGACAGTGCTGCCCGCAGCTTGAACAAGGTGAGACCCTCAGCTGTGTCTGTCATTCAGGTTGAAGTACAATCACTGAGACATTCTTGCTTTTTTTTTTCTTTCTTCTGTCAAGTTGCAAGGTTCAAAAAAAGAACCCATACTTTCATTCAGTTGACTTGACTATTTCAATTACGACCTTATTTGACTTTTAATTTAGAGATATATGTGGCAGTCTCTTCATATGCATTTTGTGTTTGCAATTCTCCCTTTGGTAGTACTGTATCAGTTTCTTTTTTATGATAAATTGCGACAAAATTAGTGTAGATGAGTGCAACTGGTTATTGTTTCCTATAAAGTCATCTCTCAAAAGAATTGACAGTGTAAGGAGCATTTAATCAGGAAGTGGAACTTTAAGAAACATTAACAAAAGCATGTTAAAATCAATTGGAGTTATTTTTTTCTCATTGAATATTTTTAGTGAGATAATTTAACATACCTAATACTACTTTTAAAAGCAGCTAGGGCAAGGAATTGGATTTTAATATGCGCTTCATTTTAATTTTTAAATGACTCAGATTTTTGTATCATCACCAATGAAATTTTGAGTGTTTTGTTTATGCAGATTTTTAACTTTAAATAAGCAAATTTAAATACGTTGCATTTGAGAAAATATACTATATGTTTTTTTCATATTTTAATAAACATTTCATTTGCATAACTATATATAAATTGTAAGCACAAAGTACATGCTGCATGTTTATAAAGAATATCATTTATATGTATAAAACTATTACATAGTAGACTAATATGGTGTCAAATGATTAACATCAAATGAAGATGCTCACAAATGGCATAGCTGAATTCTATGGCCGGGGCTATAAACATAGTCTTTCCAACTTTAAAAATAAAAGATTTTGATAGTTGAAGGCTGATGTTCCGATAAGAAATTCACTTTTAAAACATTCTTCTTATGACTGAAAGAAAAAAGTTGTAGATTGTCTTTTAGTTGATTTTTAGTTCTCTGTTCTTGGTGGGATAAGATTGCCACTCATTAAAATGGAAAAAATGTTTTTATATAACAATCATTCAACATTAAAAAGCCAGATTTTTTTTTCTGGCAGATAGCTCTTGCTGCAGTTTCTTTGGTAAGCAAATGTAATTTTAGTGTTTATTTATTAAATGTAATGTATTAGGTTTCTTGGTCATGCTGAGCAAGAAGGAGTTATTGTTTGTTTGTTTTTGTTTTTGTTTTTTTCACTTATATCCTGATAGACTCACAACCAAGCCCCTGATGGAATAGTCAACAGCTGCCTATATGCTGTGGCATGCTGTGACTTTAATGTGTTATTACCCTCGCTGACTTGATCCTACTAATGAACATGGCTTCCAGCTATTCTTATCATAAAGGGTTGGGAGTACTGATTTCTATTAATGTTACATATCCATAACATGACTTGTTTGTTACTGCAATACTTTGTATCTTTATTTAAAAGTGGTGTTAATGTCTGAGGCTATCAGGTAAAGCTGGCAATTAATGTCACATTCTAACTGGCTATAGCTAATCAGCTTGCCTAGACTGAATATCAAATAACTACATAATGGGCAAATTTCCATTCCTGGGGCTTTTTAATGCTCTCTTGTTTCCCATTTGGCTCTCTTCAATTGTTTTTACAATGCAGTTTGTCATATGTTAATTTGCATGAAGGGGTAGGGAGATGGGAGGGCAAAGGTTACTCATGTGCTTGCTGGCTTGCTCTCATTTCCTGTGGTTCCTACTTTCCCTGAAGCAGTTACAGCCCATCAGATTTGCAAAGTCAACTAGGTACAAATCAATTGCACTCCACATTGAAATTCTGGAGAGCTCAGAGTCCTACATAACTGTGATGTGAGTCAGTGATCTGAATGACAGCATTGGTGATTCACTTGCACTCATTGCTGACTTCTTCTTCCGCAAAGTTCCTGCTCCCTCATTGAAGAAAGCAGGAATTAAGCTTGGTACAGTATTAGCTAGCGAGCAACACAAAAAGCGTCAGGGTAACTGCTCCCTAAAACTGGAGAAACTCTATTTTGCAATTCAAGGCTAATGACCAAGGGAACTGAAAAACACAGGGGAAAATGTGAAATCCCACAGTCTGATTTATAAAAATTTGGGTCATTCATTTAAACAGTGTGAATGAATGGTTATTGATTATTCATTTTAGCACCAGGAGAAAATGTTTTGGGCCTGAATACAATCTTCTGTCAACAAAAACAAATTAAATAAAGCTTCTTTCCCTACTAGTTTCTAAAATGTTTTCTATTTTGGCCAAGACTGTCAAACCCAATTCTTTAAGAAATAAAAGATGCAGCAAGTCAGGAAATGAATCACATTCTATTAATCTCAAGTTATCTGACTCTTGATATTTGTCCCATAAGGTTAAAAATAGTCAGAATGAATGGGCATTTCTATCTTCCTTATAATAGGATTTTTGAAGGTATGAATGAACACGTAGTATGAACACACACATCCACCATATAGACTGTCTTGAAAACCACACATAATCTCTCTTTAAAATAATGGGTTCCAACTTTTTGCATAATTGACTTACCATCTTACGTCTCCACTAGTGGCTCATAAATGAATGACTAACCGGATGTGACCGGGATCATTTCACATGAATGTATGTTGGTTTGTACTAATTTCTACTAAATGTATTCAAAGGCTTCTTTCTATTGACAACTTCCCACCACCTGGTTTTTAGGTGGGCTGTTCGGGGGGCAAAAAAAGGTTTTTAGCTGCTGTGGTGCTGCTGCCTTCATTTTCTTCTTTAAAAGTCGTGAATCAAAAAGTAAGGTGTTGATGTAGATGTTTTCTTTTATTTCTCTGTCACTAACTCGTTTTTTCTATTCTGTGTTTAATCTGCTGTCTTAATGGATTCAGCTTCAGAAAAGAGAGCGCTCTTGCAGAGCCTATGTCCAGGTACTTTCTGTGTTTTTCTAAATGTGTTAAGTTGTTGAATTGTCTCTGTTGGTGATCGCATGTGCGGGCATCTGAGGAAAAATGATAATGTGCCATATTGAACTAAAGGAACTTCTGGGAGGGCGTGCAGGGTGGGAATGGAAAAAAATGGTCTGTGTTAAAAAGAAAGTGGATAGTGCCAAGTTCTGTCAAGCATGAGAAACAGACGAGAGAGAAGGTGCAGCTTGAGGCCTGGAACATTTTCATCTAGGAGCTGAGTTTAATATAACATATACATCTCTGTTTTTTCATAGAGTCACTATACAGATTTGACTTATACACTGAATTGTTAGTTCATTCAGAATAGAGTCATATAAGGCAAGACACACAATGAGATTTTTGAAATAATCTTAGTTCAGTTTCAACATAGAACTCAAGATGCCAGGCAGGGTTATGACTTAAGTTACTCTCTCATTGAGATCATATGTAAATATAATTTTTATCCAGGATGGAAATTTAGTTTCCTAACAATACTGTTCTCATGGTCTTACGGTTTGGTGTAAAAGAGAACATTGTTCAGACAAGCTGGCTATCTTCCTGGGTTTTTTTAGCTATTGTTTTGTTGGGAGACTGGCTTTTGGTTATTTATTTGTTTGTTTATTCCAAGCTAGAGTTTCTCTTTGTACTAGTGCCGACTGTCCTTTGTAGATCAGGCTGGCCTCAAACTCACAGTGATCACTCCACCTGCTTTCAGAATGCTGGGGATAAAGGTGTGTGTCACCACCCTGCTTTTGATTTTGTGTCTGTGAATTTCATGATCTCCATATGCAAATCACAGCATTCTAGTGAAGCAAATCCATCTGTGTTTAGAAAAAATTAACCCCAGGAGCCAAGTCAGCTTTTGTGAAGATTGGAAGTACCAAATCAAACCTTAACAATTATTCACATTTGTATAGAATATGGAAACCTTGACTTTGTCTCCCCATACCCTTGAGGGCTTAGTTGATGTAAATGTTAGGTACCAAACTGTTCATTTGTGTCTCCCCAATGATCTGAATATTCACATCTACTAACTTTATGGCTAGTGTAAAGCTGGGGTTTTGATAATTAGAAAGCTGTTTAGCTAAAATCATGTCAGAATAACTAGATAACCTTAGGAGAGAACCACTCAGGTTTTTAAGATACAATATCGGTAGACATTCTAATGAATGAGTGTGACATCTGTCTTTGCTTAGTCATTTGTTTAATTTGACCACCATTATTTTTTCTTGCCCCATTTAAAAAATACATGAAATCCATCATTTCCTCAAAAGTGTTAACAAACAAAACAAATGTAATCTATGCCCTGAGGTTTTATTATCTGGTAGACAAAATTGATTAGTTAAACTTGCAGTCTTCTTCCTTTCGTTAGCATCATATTGGGGAAATATAAGATGTACCTTGAGTAGATAAGGTATTTTCCTTGTCTTCTCAGCTACTGAAGGGTGCATTGCAAGTGTTAGCTATATTCCAGTTAATTTTCAGACATACAGAATTAACCAGCATGTTTCCATCTGTAAGGCGGGGATGAATATATCTATTGCCTTAGCTATCTCTAGTGTTATGGCCAAGGCCCTTTTAACAAAAAATTGACACCATCACAAGAGAAACGTCAGACTAATTTATTAAAGATGAACTCGATGTGACCTGGAAACCTATGAAAAAGAAAACCCAGAGAGGCAGAGAGACATATGTATTTATGTGCTTAGGTGTTAAGAGGAGTAGGGCAATTGAGGGGTAGTGTGCTTGGATAAAGTGAGTATGCTGTAACCTCAGGAAACTGAGAACATAGCTGGGACTGTTCACTCGAGTTCAGACATCTTTCGGCCTTTGATTCTCTTCTTTGAAGGCAGGCAAGTGTCTCTCAAATGAAGACCTACAATCTGCTTCAGAAGAAGGTCATGAAAGTGTTTCTTTCGATTTTGTGACTTGTTTCCTTGTAGAAAGATCGGTGGGCCAAGTGCAAGTAGCTTTCTACCTCTGGTGATGTCTCAAATGTCGTGGTGCCATAATATGGGGTAGGATATTCTGTCTCTAGTTTTATTAATTTCAAACTTGGTTTATTTTTTAAAGAAAAACATAGGATAGGAATAAATCGTGTTCCTGTCTTATGAGTTGCATTTTGAGTCTGAAGGCCTTCTTAGCATGGGGAAATAACAGCATTTTGTGAGAATCATTTAAAAGAAAAAAAAAAAAATCTAATTTGACATTGAAGATTAAGGAGATTATCTTTGTATTTGCATTTACTTTATGAAACGATGAATTTCTGTGAATAAGAAAATATTAAGGCTTATTTCCTTAGGTTTTAGAAAAGCATCCTTTAGGGAAGCACAGTGTGAGAGGTAGGAGAAGGACTCCCATCCCAGAAAGGTGGGGGGCATAGCATGTTGCAGCCCTGCCAGGATTGTTTTCAGTTGTGCTCTCTGCTATCCTTTTAATGGGACTTTCGGGATAATTAGCCCTCCAGTATTTAAATCTATGAAATGCATGGTCATTCAGACATGAATCTCCAATGGAAAATTAACAGCACAGTTTATTCAACAGCTGATTTCCTGGTGTTACAATTGACTAGCTGTGAATAAATGTTTCAGCTATTGACTAAATATCTGATGAGACACAATACACACAGAGGCTACTGGTGATGCAGAAATGCTCTGCTCGATAATACAAGATGCTCCTTCTGATCATGTTCATGTAGACTGCTACGCCAGGAAGTTTTACAGTCAACGGTGCTGCACAAACCCCTGTAACTGACTCATAAAGAGGAGTTTTATCTTACCCATTGTTTATATATTCAGATCATACTTGGTGCCATCTCTGGAATAGGTGCCTGAAATAGGTACATGATTGATTCTCATTGTGGGTTTCTACAAAATGTGGCCTTTCCATTTTCATCAGACAAGGTTCTCCTAGGGATGTGTTTGGCTACCTGAATCCATTTACTTTTCATTCATTATTTTAAGAACAGGAGTCTATTTTATGAATTATACATATTCATGCTTTATATTTTCTTGTTTCCTACCCTTTATTCTATGAAAAACCAAAAGCACAATGAAATCAGACCTGCCAACTATCAATTATACATTACCTGTATGTGAACAGTTTAAATTGGGATGGGTTTGAAAATAATACATGAATTCCAAAAATAGTAAATTTACATTCTAAGATTTTAAAAACACGAGTCCAATACAATTTACTTTTCTTTATTTATCTGTGACTTTTATTATAATAAATCTTTACTGATTGCTAAAAGATAAAAATTGATATTGATTATAGTAAAAGGACATTAATTTGTCCCATAGTATACTATTTTTTGAAGTTTGGTTTGATGATGCAGGCCTGGGCCCACCGTTGGTTAAGAAATTCAGGTAGGAGAATATCCTGGGCCCCAGAGTGACTTCAGTATCAGCCTGGGCAGTTTAGTGAGACCTTGTCTCAATAAATAAAAAGACTGAGAGATAGCTAGTAATAGAGCGTTGTTTTTATTTATGAAGAGAATGGTGAATTCAGGGGAGGTAAGACTGCTGTAGAAACATCATAAAACAACTACTATAATGTAATGTGACCAGAAGGGGCTTAGAGATAAGGGGGTCTGAGAGAGGCAAAAGGAGATGGAGAGACTGCCTGAGGCCACAGAACCAAGACTGATAGCATCAGTACTGCTCTCCTGATGTGCATCCTCTTTTCTTCCACACCAAGGTGAAGATGAGGATGGTTTCTTACTAAGAATAAGGACGTTTGGGCTGGAGAGATGACTGGAGAGAGGTTAAGAACAGAGGACCTGGGTTCGATCCCCAATGTGCACATGGCAGTTCACAGCTGCCTGTAACTCCACTAGGAGGGGTCCAATGCCCTCCTGTGACCTATACAAATATTGCATGAATGTGTTTCACAGACATACATGCAGGCAAAACACTAACAACATAAAGTAAAAAAAATAATAAAGTTAAAAGACATTTACTAGGTCAGCTATGTGGACATTGTCATGCAGAACACTAAGTATCCTCTATTATTTGTTTGTGTTTTACTTTGAGACGGGGTCTCCATGTGTAAAACAGGATGGCCTTCAGCTGAGCTCTTCCTGCCTCACTGTCATGCACCCTAAGATCACAGGCATGAGATAAGTTTTCATTCACTCTCACTCAATATTTGTAAGAACTTTGTGTCATCGTTCTTACAATACATTTTGTTCAAAGTGAACATGGGAACCCACAAAGAGTTCATTGATTTCCATGAAATCACAGAGGTCAATGACTGAAGAGATGTGGAAAGTTGAAGCTGATTTGAAAGCTTATGTGCATTGACTCCTAAGATAAAGTAGCCTTCTGACTTGCCTCATTCATGTGTAGTAGGAGGCAGGATCTAGTATTTGGTGTGTATTAATTGGTGTGTGTGTGTGTGTGTGTGTGTGTGTGTGTGTGTGTGTGTGTGTGTGTGTGATATATTCCAGAGATGGACTAGAGTCAAACAACCCCCCTTCCTTCTCTCCTACATGTACACAAACCAATTCCAGGCACCCATGTCCAGTTCCTAAGTAATCATTACTTTGTACTGTTACATTAATTTCATACACAACCAGAATTTGATTGAGAGGTTCATTCACATTCAAAGGACACCCTGGTTTAAAAATGTAATTTTAAGAAAGGAAAAAGCTGTTAAAGGAGCTTTCAGACTGTTTTCCAGAGTGACAACCCACATTGGGTTTCTGTCAGTTTTTCCAGTGTCTGTCAGGTTTCCAATGGCACCCCAATTCTTTTTTTTTTTTTATCACTTAAAAATTGTATGGCCTAATTGACTCAGGTTTCTCACTAGCTATCTCTTATAACTTCACCCATTTCTATTAATCTATAAATTGCCACATGGCTGTGGGATTATCGGTCTGCTGGCATCTTGCTGTTCCTCAGGCAGTGGCTGGCATCTCTTCTGCCTCTGCCTTTCTTCTTCCTGTCTCTCTCCTTGGATTTCCCACTTGACCCTAAGCT